TAATTTTTAATATTAATATTCTTGTACAAAAAGCTTCATGAATACTGTCATAATTAACAAATCAAAAACGGTTTGATACTGATTTAAAATTATTGAGACAATTGTTTGTTTTGGCACTGATTCCAAATTGTTTTGATATTGATTTCGAATAATTCTGACATGATGTATGATTTGGCACTGATTTCTAACTGCAAACACATTGTCGTCAATTTAGTAAAATCAGAGTGATTTTCAATGTACTATTGTATATTGTTGGTGCTTTAGAGTACATGTACCTCTAGAAATAGAAATGTGTACAAAATAATTACATTAGGCATCCATGCCTGACACATGAGGGATATCCTGATAACCTGCTACATCATTTCTGCTTCATTAAGTTTCTCTTGCACTCCATAGCCAGAATAGGTTAATGAAATATTTTATGTGTGAGGTTAATAGTGATTATACATTGGAAGCAAAGGTTTGGTGCACAGTTTGCAGATGCTCTCAATATGAGATGTTGTCATATTGTCTGGACAGGTGTTGTCATATTGTCTGGACAGGTGTTGTAATATTGCCTGGACAGGTGTTGTAATATTGTCTGGACAGGTGTTGTGATATTGTCTGGACAGGTGTTGTAATATTGTATGGACATGTGTTGTAATATTGTCTGGACAGGTGTTGTGATATTGTCTGGACAGGTGTTGTAATATTGTCTGGACAGGTGTAATAATGTCTGGACAGGTGTTGTGATATTGTCTGGACATGTGTTGTGATAATGCCTGGACAGGTGTTGTAATATTGTCTGGACAGGTGTTGTAATATTGTCTGGACAGGTGTTGTGATGTTGTCTGGACAGGTGTTGTGATATTGTCTGGACAGGTGTAATATTGTCTGGACAGGTGTTGTGATATTGTCTGGACAGGTGTTGTGATATTGTATGGACAGGTGTTGTAATATTGTATGGACAGGTGTTGTAATATTGTATGGACAGGTGTAATTATGTCTGGACATGTGTTGTAATAATGTCTGGACAGGTGTAATAATGTCTGGACAGGTGTTGTGATATTGTCTGGACAGGTGTAATAATGTCTGGACATGTGTTGTGATATTGTCTGGACAGGTGTAATATTGTATGGACAGGTGTTGTAATATTGTCTGGAAACGTGTTGTAATATTGTGTAATAATGTCTGGACATGTGTTGTGATATTGTCTGGACAGGTGTTGTGATATTGTCTGGACAGGTGTTGTAATATTGTATGAACAGGTGTTGTAATAATGTCTGGACAGGTGTTGTAATGTTGTCTGGACAGGTGTTGTGATATTGTATGGACAGGTGTTGTAATATTGTATGAACAGGTGTTGTGATATTGTCTGGACTGGTGTTGTAATAATGCCTGGACAGGTGTTGTGATATTGTCTGGACAGGTGTTGTGATATTGTCTGGACAGGTGTTGTGATATTGCCTGGACAGGTGTTGTGATAATGTCTGGACAGGTGTTGTAATATTGCCTGAACAGGTGTTGTGATATTGTCTGGACAGGTGTTGTTATATTGCCTGGACAGGTGTTGTAATATTGTCTGGACAGGTGTTGTAATAATGTCCGGACATGTGTTGTAATAATGTCTGGACATGTGTTGTAATAATGTCTGGACATGTGTTGTAATAATGTCTGGACAGGTGTTGTGATATTGTATGGACAGGTGTTGTGATATTGTATGAACAGGTGTTGTGATATTGTCTGGACAGGTGTTGTAATAATGCCTGGACAGGTGTTGTGATATTGTCTGGACAGGTGTTATAATAATGCCTGGACAGGTGTTGTGATATTGTCCTGGACAGGTGTTGTGATATTGTCCTGGACAGGTGTTGTGAATAATGTCCTGGACAGGTGTTGTAATATTGTCTGGACAGGTGTTGTGATATTGCCTGGACAGGTGTTGTGATATTGTCTGGACAGGTGTTGTGATATTGTCTGGACAGGTGTTGTGATATTGTCTGGACAGGTGTTGTGATATTGTCTGGACAGGTGTTGTGATATTGTCTGGACAGGTGTTGTGATATTGTCTGGACAGGTGTTGTAATGTTGTCTTGATGAGTGATTGATTTCCAATTTTTTCCATTACAGATGACAGAACAAAGAAAACAGAAGCAGAGAATTGGATTATTAAGTACTCCTGCTATGAATGCCTAGAACACCATTCTTTATTCACCAGTGCCTTCAGTGTGTACCAGATGAAGATGTGTGCAACCAACATTTGCTATATCACCATGTTGCTGTCAGCTACTGAAAATGACAATATGAGTGACAATGAATGTTCGTTATATTAACAACAAACAACTTTTTGTACAGATTTGATGTGAATGGGAATTGAGAGTGCAATTTATAAGATTATTAAACAGTTTATATTTTATTTGAGGCTGCAAAGCAGCCATATTAGAGCCAAGTTTAGTTACTAGGCAACCATTGTGGCCACAGTTCTGGAATAAAATGCCTCATTTTTCTATTTAATGAGTATGAAATTGCGTTTTGACACATTTTTTTTTTCAAAGGCACCAAAACAATCAAGCATAGTTTACTGTGAATAGTAAAGTAAATTACAGAGAAATTGTAAGAAGAAGATATATTGAAAACTGGTGTAAATTGATGCAGTTGATATGAGGTTGCCGGAAGAGTCTCATTTGTTGTAGACAGGATAATCACCTCTCATTTATACCAATTAAGTTAACAATTTTACATCCACCACCTGCATATAAATTACTTAATATTTTTGTACAAACACCATGCTTTGATCAGTCAGGATTGTACCAGATCATCTATTTATAAATCCTATTTTTTGTGTATTTTTCTGAATGCATGAGTGAAAATATTTAATATATATATATATATATTTTGATAATCAGTGTAAATAAATAGTAAATCAGACTAAGTCATCAATGAATTGTGTATGTGCACATGATTCAGAGACAATGTTTTTTTAAGAATTGTCACAAATTATCAGGGAGCTTGTAATGCCATAGACCATTATATTAATATGCACATTGTTATTCATCTTTGATAATAACTCTACCATTCATTGAGTTTGAAATTACATTTTCTCTGGATTCGGAAGTAATACAGTTTTGCTTATATATGTATGTTGAGTTTAAATTTGTGCAAGCCAACCTCACTGTGACCTTGAAACCTGTCTATATCCCATCTACTAAGAATTGTTAGCTCTCAAATACCTTGCAAACAGAACAGTAATATAAATGTATGTGGGGAAAAAATACCATTCTTTTATAGGATCACTAAATTATTATTGGTTTATAGACAAGTTAAAATTTATTGTAATGTAAAGTTACGGTAGGTGTCTTATTCAACTCTGTTGGTCCAGTTTTATCAACATAATACCTGATTTGCTATGCTGTGTTCGTGAGTATCAGTCTTGTTGCTATGGGTGACAGAGTTGAATCTATGTCTTATGTTTCCATTGAAAACAGGATTTGTTTTTAAATTTCTGTTTTTCTCTATACTTTTAAAATTTTTCCAGCAACCAGTGCACATGATTTGGTTTTAGTTTTGAAATATTAAAAGGATATTAAGATTTTATCAAAAACAAATCTGTAAAATGATTAAAGTAGTTTGCAAGGGGAAAGATTCAGGTTGCACAAATATCATTGTTACACAGCATTTATAAATATCTAAATGTTCTTACCACACTAATATGTTACAGAATTCCTCTCTAATTGCAATGTTTTTATTCATGTTCATAGAATGTGATTGTCATATTTCTCTTGCGACAAAACTTGACATCAAAACCTAAAAATAGTGCCAATTACAGAGAATCATGAATGTTCTGTTTGAAAGAGCTGAAAGTTCAAAACAAGAAAAATGTGAACTCTCAAATCACAAAATATATGTACTTATTGTTACTTTAAATTATTTTTATTTGATACCAAAGGAGAGTTGGCTTAAACTGAGTGCAATTGTATTAACTATTTACACTAATAGAGGGCACTGTTTAGCTGATCTTTATTTAGTCACAGAATATTTTTTTATTTTTGCTCAAATGCTTTCAAATTAATGTCCATTTACCATAAGCAATTTGTGAGTGTACTGGGGAAATTACATTGTGAGCCTTAGTGACGTATTGTGAGTGTAACAACGTATGGATTCAAGCGAGACTTTTGTGACCATGAAGTAAATCATCAGCTAAAAACATACTATCAGTTTTTATGTTATTTTATAGAGTATTTCAGTATAATGAAGGTAGTCGTGTGGATGTCTTGTAATCTATTTTTTTCTGAATTTAAACATTTATTTTACTTAAATTAACATTGATACTTAATAGGATTACAATGTAGCTTCAATATGACATTGATATCAATGTTCATGCAAGAAATTTTTTCATTCTACTTATCATTTGTGTCAATAAAAGTACTTTAATATTCATAAATACAGTAGTGTCATTGTGTCACTAAATGAGAATTACCAATTGCATCAAAAACATTCTTACGGATAATTTTTTGTATCATTTACCATAATGCTGTACGTCAATTTTCTATGTCCACACACGGTGACAGATTTCAACAAATCACAGGCCTTGTGTACGGTCACTTTTTCCCATGCATTTGTTACCTTGCCCGTACCATCAAAGATGGAAGGGAAAGGTATATTAAGGGGAAAATTTTGTCCGGCGTTGTCGTCGTCGTCGTCGTTAATTGTTATTGTGTGCATAATAACTTGGTCACCTTATTCATCAGTATAAAGTCTTCCCTGAGTTTGAACAACAGATGTCCTGTGAGAAAATCTGATAAAATATTTTGACTGTTTCTACTTGACTGATCACTGGTGATACACATCAAAGGTCACTGATCTCAGTGGAAATATGCATTGTTGTATGTGTTCAATGAAGCAAATGATTTATCTTGTAATAATATCCTTGGTAATGTATCTCAGAATCCCATACTGGGTTTCAAAACCAACTCATGGAGAGATTGCACAGTCTGATACACATTTGCAAACCTACCAATAAAATCTTTACAGAAAACAAGATGTCAGAAAATCAATATAAGCACTGCTATGAACTGGGTGCCAAACTTTGATCAAGATCTGAAGCTAATAGAAAATCTGTTTAGTCAAAAGTTATCAAATCAAAAACAATACATAAAAAATACATTAAAAGCAAAACATTTCATCCACATTTTAAAAAGAAAATTATTCTAAAAAATATATGGTATTCTGTATTTGACAAACAGTTCATTCGACAAATGAAACTCACAG